GGAGGGGAGGCCAGGGGATTGTCAAGGGCGGGGGAAAAAACAAAGGACACATATGTAATATCCTTTGTAATACTTTAAGCAATAAAAAAAAAATTTCCCTCTCAAAATCTCAAGATGCTTTGGACCAGTTTTCATTAGTAGAAATTCAATATGTGTTAGGTATAGGCTCTTGGTGTTTGATGGTAAGGACAGAATAACAGATTAAGTACTTGAACTGTTCCACTCAAGGCTCAGTAAATCTGTTTCTTTTCTTTTCTTTTTTTTTTTTTTTTTTGGTGAGTAATTAATTTCTTGGAGTGTCTGATTTTGTGTTTTTGGAGTATATTTCTCTTAAAGCTGTTTTGGGGAAGAGATTATTTTTTGTAACATTCTTTTCTTGTTTTGATAGATTGTTGCCTTAAAGCTGTTTTGGGGAAGAGATTATTTTTTGTAACATTCTTTTCTTGTTTTGATAGATTGTTGCCAATTCCTTCTTGGCAAATCCTACTACCTCTGCTCTGTTTGCTACAATTCTGGTGGAATATCTCCTTGATCGCCTGCCAGAAATGGGCTCCAACGTGGAGCTCTCTAACCTGTACCTCAAGCTATTTAAATTGGTCTTTGGCTCAGTCTCCCTCTTTGCAGCTGAAAATGAACAAATGCTAAAGGTAAAGCTTATTTAGATTCAAGTAGTACTTTGTTTTAGGGTTTGTTATTGTTTAAGTCTTATTTTCACTTTTGAACAAAAACCGGAATGGCTCTTTTTATATTTGTAAAGTGCTTTTAGAGTTAAAATATTTGCAACAAATAAGGGCCAAGTATGGAACACATTTCATGTATTTCTAAGCAGAGCTTAATTTATCTGGTGATTTAAAATGAACATTTCTTAACTCCTATGGTAGGCAGTGGATTATCATTAATATTGCTACCACTAGTTTTCTTTTTTAAATTCAGTTTTTTTTTCTGGTTTACACAAGTAAAATTAGAAGCATATTATCCTTATTTTAAAAATTGAGTGATGCAAAAGATTATAGAAGGGAAAAAATGTCTTCACTTACCTCCCAAATCTGATGAGATATATCAGCCATTTTCCACTTTAACTTTGTTTGTTGTGTGTTCATATTCTCTGTGGCAATACATAAACATTCCTGAATGGAATGTTTAGATCAAGAGTTCTAACCATTTGTGTTCCTTAATTCAGATCATCTTGGAGGAGTGTATCTCCAACATTTTTATAGATGACTAATCTTGTATAATTTGATTTTATCAGTTGGTTGAATGTAGAAAAGGGGTAAAAATGAACCCATGGTTAAGTCACCCTTTAAACGTGGCAGATGACAGAACAAATACCTTGTAAACGTTCACTTCCACTTAGGGCAAAATTTTAATTCCTATAGAAAGTTGAATGTTATCACCAGTTGAGTCTGAAGAGAGATGGGGAAAATTTGAAGCTGTAAATAAGATCCTTTTTTTTTTTCTAGAGTAAAAGTACAGATAATGATAAAAAGCAGCAGTAATCTGTGCTTTTTTGTGATGCTTTTCTTAGTCATTTTCAGTTATATAGTAATCTGTTAACCTTAACATTACTTTTTTGTCAATATGGAAGAAAAATACTTGATTTTTAAAAAAGTACTTAATTGTAATGTATCCAAATAACTTGGAATGGTCAAATAATTCTATTTGTACCGACATTAGATATAACTATACAGAATGACAACAAAAACAAAACCTATTGGGGGGGGGGAAGACTGATAGGAAGATGTTCAAGAAAAATATTGAAATCATAAATTCATATAACTTTTTACCTAGAGAACATATTTATTCTGTAAAATAAATATGCTATTTAGAGTAACAAGTTTGGAATTGTATTAGTGATTATACCAACAGTTTACAGTTCACAGTTCACTTTAAATATACCTGCAAGAAAGTATCATGTTAAATTTAACCCGTCACATGTCAAAACTAGGATTTGAAGTACAAGATAAAAATGTTAACTAAAGGTACTGTAAGCTAATAAAGTGCTTTTTTATTAAAGTGCTTCTTTTATTAAAAAGAAATACCCATTTTTCGATCAAGTCTTCCAAAACCTTATCATAAATGTCTTTTGAGGCTCTTCCAAACTTTACATATTTGGTTGCTAGGGAATTTTAGTTCCTTTAGATTACTTGTTGCATTTAGATTGTCATAGGAAACAGGCTTCTTTCATCTTGTTTGATTATTTAGTCTTATACATGAGTGACTATTTTCATGAGAACTGCAGAGTTGACAGATAGGAACCTATTAAATGCTTCTTTCACACCCAAACTGGTGGAAACCAACATATATTTTAAGAGAAATTAATTTGAGTCAAATAAAAGCTGGCAAGTTCTTGTTTTGTTTTTCAACAAATTTATAAGAATTACCTTCCTGGTAGGGGAGGGTAGGGGTAAGGGGGAGAGATCAACCAAAGGACTTATATGCAAGTATATAGGCCTAACCAATGGACACAGACAACAGGGGGTTGCGGGCATGAGTGGGGGGATGGGAGGTAATATGGGGATAAGGACACATATGTAATAACTTAATCAATAAAAAAAATTAAAAAAAAAAAAGAATTTACCTTCCATTCCTGTCTGATTGCAGTGAATGTTTAGCACAGTTGTTGGGGATGTGGATCCGCCTCATTTAGAGCCTACTAACGTGCCTTTTCTGTATCCTGCAGCCCCACCTGCACAAGATTGTGAACAGCTCCATGGAGCTCGCACAGACTGCCAAAGAGCCCTATAACTACTTCCTGCTGCTTCGGGCCCTGTTCCGCTCTATTGGGGGCGGTAGCCATGATCTCCTGTATCAGGAATTTTTGCCTCTTCTTCCAAACCTCTTGCAAGGTCAGAGCAATGATTTTGGTTGACTTTTAGCCTTGTGTGCGTGACTTTTAGCCTTGTGTGTGGGGCTGCCCTTGGTTGCTGGGGTTCATCCTCTGTACCCATTGAAGGTCATCGTGAGGAGATATATGTATATCCCCTGCAGAGAGAGAGGGAGAGGGAGAATGAGAATGAGGCCCTTCAGTCCCTGTGTTCCACTATCTTTAAAGTCAGTGGGACTTTGAAAGGAGTCCCCTTTCCCCATTCAGTTCTGGTCTCTTTCTCTATACTCAGAGTTGAATGAGAGTTGGAAGGTTTTGGTTTCCTCAGTTAGGACTTGGTTGTATTTCTATAGCATTTGGTAAGCAAGTCTAGAAGGTTGTTTCTAGTGGTTTTGTAAGATCAGGAATCCCTAGATTTGAAAGATAATCAGAACAAGAAGGGCAAACAAGTTACAAAGCTGATTTATAAGTTTATATTTTTATTTAGTTGCTTTACACAGCCAGAATTCAATAATCTACACTAATAAAAGAGAAACATGCAAATTGGCCACCACGCTACACCCACCAGCCAGTCAGGGCGAGTATGCAAATTAACCCAACAAAAATGGCCCTGTCCATAGCGGCCAGGCAGTGCTTGGGGCTGCTGGGGGCCAGATGGGAGACACAAACACACAGAGCCCAGCACCCAGCAGCCCCAAGCCTCGCCATCATGATGCTGGGGCTGCTGGGGGGATCAGAGACATAAACCCGCAGGACTGGCACCCAGGAGCTCTGGCACCCAGCAACCCCAAGGCCAGCCACTGCAGTGTTGGGGCTGCTGGAGGCCTGATCGGAGACACAAACCCGCAGGCCCGGCACCGAGCAGCCCCAAGGCCAGCCACTGCGGTGCTGGGGCTGCTAGAGGCCGGATCAGAGACACAAACCTGCAGGTCTGGCACCCAGCGGCCCCAAGGCCCACCACCGTGGTGCTGAGGCTGCTGGGGGCCAGATCGAAGACACAAACACGCAGGGAGGCTGGCACCCAGCAGCCCCAAGCCCCACCACCTCGGTACTGGGGCTGCTGGGGGCCGGATCGGAGACACAAACCCACAGGGACAGAGGCAGAGGTGGTTAGAGGTGATTAGGCAGGCACGGGAGAGCAGTTAGGGGGATCAGGCTGGCAGGTGAGCAGTTAGGAGCCAGAGGTCTGGAGGGTTCCCAGATTGGAGAGGGTGCAGGCCAAGCTGAGGGGATCCCCCTTCCCGTGCACGAATTTCGTGCACCAGGCCTCTAGTCTATATATAAAAGGCTAAGCGACCATCCGACTAGCTGGTTGGTATGAAGCACACTGACCACTAGAGGGCAGACGCTCAATGCAGCAACTTTGTAGAGTGCCCTCTCACACTCTGGGACCCCTTGGGAGCTGGTTTTGGCCTGATCCCCACAGGCCAGGCCCAGGGACCCCACCTGCTGGAGGGACCCCCTGCTCACTCCACAGACGTCCTTTGAGCCTTGGCGCTGCCAAAGGTGTGGCCAGCCGGGAGGGACTGCTGGAGATTGGCTCCAGGGCGTGTCTGGCCCCTCTGGCCCAGTCCCACCCGCTGGCCACCTTCTAATTAATATCCTTTAAATGTGCATGAATTCGCGCAACAGGTCACTAGTTCCTGTATAATTAGAAATGCTTTCAAAATGTAAAGTTAAAGAAGATCTGTCTTGAGTCCATCCAATGTTTGTGGGTGTGAACTGATTAGAAACATTATCTTAGGAATTTGTATTTTTGTAAGTGTGAGCTACTGGCATTTTAGCAAAGGATTAAATCTAAATTTTCTTTGTAAATTCTTTAAAGAGAAGCCATTTACAACATTGTATACCCAGAAGGCAACTGGGAAATACATATTTGGATATTAAATGTAACATGGTCATAAATCCACCAGGCAAAGTGCTTAACCATAATCGGGCTCCTTTGTTCGTATTTAAACCCATCTCCGGTCATTCTTTAACTTGAGCCCTCTGCTCTGATCAGTCTCATTTCTTCCTGTACACTCTCTGCTGTCCCCAAGCTCATCTCTCCCTACCCTGTTTTGTTCAAGCATATCTCCTTCTGGGGACTTAGCCTTTCCCTCTTTTATCCTCCTTCTCCTACCCTATGGTGACTTGCCTGTCAACTCTTCACTGAGCTCTCTTCAACCTGCAGTACCTTGTGGTGGGTCTGCTGAGTCACATGCTTTTCTCTTTCTAGCTTGCCTCTAAGTGCTTTGAGCTAGTCTTGACCTGACTCGTGTTAGTTAGGAAGGAGCTCAGTAAATACTTGGTTTCCCTCATGAAGAGTGGGGAGGTTGATTTTATAAGAAGGAGGCTCCTCTCTATAAGAAACAAAAGTGGATTTTTGGAAAAATATTTATATTTTAGAGCATAAACATCAACTGACCTACTGGAAACTTGAGATATAAGATTGTAAACCTCAAACTTGAGATGAATGTATCATATCAGAAGTCTCTGTCTTTAGATTGGGCTTATTAATAGTGTAACATTTTAAAAAGGTTGATGTGTAATATATTACAAGACATGTTATAATTATAACTTAGTATATAATAATTATATGCAGCTTGCTGTTGTCACTATGACTAGCACAGACAAAGGGGATCGTGGATGCAGTTATAGAATAGGGTTAGCTAATTAATATAGTAACTTATAAGGCATAAGAAGTCTTCCTATCATCACATTGATGTATATAATGAAAAGTGTACCAGTTATTTTGTACAGTTAACTTCGGCCTGTGTCTGGATGGCAATTTCCCCTCTGACTGTCCCACACCCTGTTATTAGGGCTGAACATGTTGCAGAGCGGCCTGCATAAGCAGCACATGAAGGATCTCTTCGTGGAGCTGTGTCTCACGGTGCCTGTACGGCTGAGCTCTCTCTTGCCGTATTTGCCCATGTTAATGGATCCTTTGGTGTCTGCTCTCAATGGCTCTCAGACGTTGGTCAGCCAAGGCCTGAGGACTCTGGAGTTGTGTGTGGACAACCTGCAGCCCGATTTCCTGTATGACCACATTCAGCCAGTACGCGCAGAGCTCATGCAGGTAAGTCTGTTTTCCTAAGTGCCAGCAGAGGGCGCTAGGTGCTCATTTTAGTGCCTACTGAAGATTTTAGGCCATCTGGCTGGCAGTGACAGGCCTCTGTTGAGCTCTCCATGCTCTGTGGTGGACTGTCTGCAGGATGAAGTGGTGAAATTTTCAACTTATTTTGTGCATCTTCTGGCTATGACAATATGTAAAGAAATACTGTAAGTATTGAGTGACTATTTGTTTCGCAGTACTGCCCTCTTTTTTGGAGGCTTTTACAGGTATCATGTTCCTTTAGTTGGTGACTTACAAAGGCAGGTGTATGGTCACTGTTGCTTCCAGGAGATCCTTTCTTTATTCACAAAAGATTTTGAGCTACACAGTACAGAGGTGCAGATTACTAAGGGAAAACAGCTGTCTGCAAACATTTTATATATAGATATTTTTAACAGTCTTAAATTTTTTTTATTTGTTTTTAGAGAGAGGAAGGGAGAGAGAGAAAGAGAGAGACATCGATCAGTTTCCTCCTACATGTGCCCTGACCAGGGATCAAACCCGAAATTTGAATATGTACCTTGACCAGGAATAAATCCTCAACCTTTTGGTGTACGGGATGACATTCCAACCAACTAAGCCACACTGGCCAGGCAACATTTTGTATTTTTTGTTCATTAGAGTTCATATGTCAGATATCAGGTTTTTCCTTCATTTTTTGCTGCTGCTATTGATTTGTAATGTGGTTGGTAATTGTTAGAGGTTTAGGCTACCCGTTACTTACTCATGTGCCCCATTAGCATAGAGTATTTGACCCCACACTGGGATCAGAATTCCGACAGCTTTATATGATGGGGACTCAGTAACCCCTAAAGGACAGAAGTCTTTGGGTAGAAAAGATTGGAGATGACAACTTGGAAGAACTGCCCCATGGTGGTTGAGCACCATGTGGGAGGAGGAGGCAGGGAGGGGTTCTCCAGCCTCTTGCCATTCTGTGAGGCAGACAGCCCCAGGGAGAGACAGGCCCCTGGCTGCTTTTGGAGGCGCAGTAACCTATCCACTGGGCAAGTGGGATAAGCTGTCTCACTTTAGCTCCATCAACCAGCTAAGTCTGCGTATTTGGAGATCAGAAGCACAGAAACACTAATTCCCACTACCTGCCCCTCCCGGGGAGTAAAGCAGAGGTCACTCTGAAGATAAGTGAGGATTAGGTAGGCCAGGTAGAGGGGGTAGAGGTGAGGGGACTTAGACAACACCTCTCAGCAGTTATTAAGGAGAAGCCTCTTTGGACCTACAGGTACATAAGAGAAATTGGAATTTTGCTTTAGAGGAAAGTACCAAGATTTTCTATTGATTATTGCTAGACACTAATATTGGGCATTGTTTCAGAAGGTGATTTAAGAAATAGATTTTAATAATGAGCTATGGTAATTTTCAAGATATGATAATTTATCTGGGAAAATGGAAAATTTCTGGGAACAGTTGAGTATGTGTGTACAAGGTACACATTATTTATTCTTCCTAATAATGCAGGTCCCAACATGATCCACATTTTCCCCCTTTGCCATCCTTCCTAATGTATAAGATAATTTAAATATATGAGATGATTCATATATCATGTTTTGAAGTTATAAAACCTAGTAGAAGTAAAAATCTGAGAACTTACCATCTAACCCCAGGATGAGAACTTACCAGTAAACCACATTTCTCTCTATGTTCCTCCCAATCCCATTTTGTAAAGATGCCTAAGCTATATATTGCTTAGTTTTCTTGCTTTTCAGCTCGTCAGTATTTACTATGCTACCATTTGTGCTTCAGGAGCATGGAAGAATGTTTATATTTATATATGCATTTTTGTAAAGACATAAACTTTTTCTGGGAGAATACACAAGATCAATAACATTGGCTTCTCCCAAGAAAGGGAATTTGTTAGTTTGGGGGAAAGAGAAGGAAGAAATTTTGCTGTATAGTCTTTTATAACTTTTGGGTTCTAATTTGTGAGCCATGTGAATGCATTACCTTGAAAGGATTTTAATGAAAGTGTGTTGATTTCTAGGCTTTATGGCGTACTTTACGCAATCCTGCTGATAGCATTTCTCATGTAGCCTATCGTGTACTTGGTAAATTTGGTGGCAGTAACAGGAAGATGTTAAAGGAATCCCAGAAGCTGCACTATGTTTTGACTGAAGTTCAAGGCCCCAGTATTACAGTGGAGTTCTCCGATTGTAAAGCATCTCTTCAGCTTCCAATGGAGAAGGTAAATTTGGAAGTCTCTGGGAGCTTCTTAATCCTATATAATAAAAGTCTAATATGGTAAGTGTCTGGTCATCCAGTCGTCCAATCAATCAAAGCATAATATGCTAATGATATGCTAAGGGCGCTCAACCGCTTGCTATGACATTTACTGACCACCAGGGGGAAGACAGTCGACCAGTCACTATAATGTGCACTGACTACCAGGGGCAGACGCTCCCACTGGTAGGTTAGCTTGCTGCTGGGGTCTGAGCGAGAAGGGTGGGACACGCCCTGGAGCCCTCCTGCGGTCCCTCCTTGGCTGGCCAACCTCCCATGTCCCTTTTTGGCCCCAATCATGCACTGATGATGTCCCTTGGCCTGGCCTGCACCCTCTTGCAATCTGGGCTGAGGGATGCACCCCCCCACCCCATGCACAAATTTTGTGCACCAGGCCTCTAGTGATACTATAAGTTTCTTTTTAAGAATTCCTATTTGAAAATATGTGAATAAAACATGTACTCTTTTTTGTGAGGGAATTTATAACTCAAAGAAGAATGAGATTTATTTGGAGACCAGTTGGGTGGGTGAGGGAGCTTTCATACCACCAGGAGGCCAGCGGAGGGGTGTTACCCCTGAGGCTTTGGACCCTTGAGCAGGTCCATCTTTCCTGAGGGACCAGAAGGTGATGCCCTGCCCACCTGGCCCTGGAACTTAGTGGTTTGTTTTAGTGTTTTTATTGATTTCAGAGAGAGGGATAGAAACATCAATGATGAGAGAGAATCATTGATCAGCGGCCTCCTACACGCCCCCTACTGGTTATGTGCCCTGACTGGGAATTGAATCTGCCACCTTTTGGTGTATGGGATGATGCTCCTACCAACTGAGCCACACCAGCTAGGGTGGGAGAACCCAGGTTTTGAAGATAGGCTTCCACAGTCCTCCTGCACCTTTATGGAAACTTTATGGTGCTTGTGGAGCTCCTTTCCCAGCAGGCAGCATCCTCAGCGCCATGGCATGCCCAGTGAGCTGAAGGAGTCGACTAGGCAAAGGGAATGACCAGCGAGACCAACCCCAGTGCCAGTAAATTTCTGTTAAAACAGTCATTTATTTTTTTCCAGTGGGTAATTGGCTCATAGCTTACATTGATTCTTAAAAATAAAATTTCTAAAATTATCCTCACATGATTTATTACCTATTAATGACCAGATTAGAGGCAGTAGGAGAAACGACAGTTCTGCTGTGCCCAGAAGACTCAGACACACGGCTGGGGTGATGTGGTGAGAAGCTGTATCACACTGAGCGGCCCTGTGTGCTTTGTCGCCTGGCTGGGTCTGGAGTGCAGGGCTCTGTCCTTGTCGGCTCTTTTTCTGGCTCTTCACACAGAGCCTGGATAAATGTTTAATTTTTGATACAGATTAGTTCTTTGATACATATGTATATAATTATCATTAAGTTAATATCTTTAGCTGATAAAGGCTTCAAATTATTTTTCTGTGTGATTGTTCCTCCCCTACCTTTCTGGTCAATTTCATTGAAATGAAAAGGATAAAAATATGAGTGTAGCTATATAGGTGTTCTGAAAAAAAAGATGTAAACCTTTTTCTCTTTTAAAGAAGAATTTAGTGAAAGCTTAGGAAAGTTGTCTTTTAGTTTTGAACTTAGACACAGGAAAGTCTGTGGTCTGCAGAAAGTTCATTATTCTCTTGAGGACCTTGATAAGTGTGTAGATGACCCAGTGTCTAGTTTAATCCAGCAAATCTACCACAAGGACTCTTAAAGTCTCATTTAATTTCTGGAATCTCCTATTGGCTGTTTAAGCATAAAATTAGTAAACTCCATTTTACATTTTAATTTGAACTGTGCAGTTCCTTATTCATGATACTTTCATCGCCTTCTCTGGAGGTCTTACACAGGGAGTACTTGCTACCCTGTGTAGTCCCACTCTGCTCACTTCAAGAGAAAAAAATACGCATTAAGATTCTTTTGCGTGTTGAAAATGCTTTCAGTGAAAGACTTTCAAGGACATGTAATTTGGTACCAACTATAACTTTTGTTTTTATTTGTTGTCATAGGCCATTGAAACCGCTCTGGACTGCCTGAAAAGTGCCAACACTGAGCCCTACTACCGGAGGCAGGCGTGGGAAGTGATCAAGTGCTTCCTGGTGGCAATGATGAGTCTAGAGGACAATAAACATGCTCTCTATCAGCTCCTTGCACACCCTAAGTATGTTGGTAATTTAATTCTCTGCAATTGAATATACCTTGCTTCAGGAATGAGGGATGGAGAGGACCTTTAAGATATCTTAATGTTATGAGCATGTTCCTTCTAGTTAGGAAAACGACATGTTATTTGCCTAATAATGCTTCCGTTGGCTTTTAGAGAAAATGGGAGCAATTGGGTGCTTGAGTATTAGAATTTATCAGTTGTGATCTGCCTTTATGATTGACTCCTCATTAGGTTGGAAGTTTCAAGAACCGAGGGTGATACTCTTTTCTCTTTCTTCTGCCCACCATTATATTCACAGGCCTGTCACGTGATACACACTCAGTGGATCTTTTACTTTTCCAGTCCATAGTGATATTTTCTTTCTCCAGATATTTGTCATGTGATATTTGTATTTTGCTCCTATAATTTAGGTTATGGTCAGTTGTTGGCATGAGGGTGGGAGAGGGATTGACTTTTTGGGGTGACATGTCTTAAAATTGGATAGTGGTGATGGTTGTACAATTACAGAAATGTAAAACTCATTGAACCATATGATTAAAATAAATGAATCCTATGGTATATAATTTATTTCTCAAAGCTGTTAAGAATCATAATAGAAAAGAACAAACGTCAAATTGAGCTAAATACTTGTGCAAAAAAATTGAGCAAAAAAACAACTCAGGCAGTTTTATGGAACATATTAAATAAAAATCTAAAAATAAAAAAAATATATATAAAAAACCAAGAAGTTTAACAAAAGTAAATTTGACATGTGCAAATTTAAAAAAAATCATTTAAGTATTTCAAACGTTTACTTTAAAAAATATACATATATTTAAATAACTCAGTAATGAGAATTTTTCTCTTTCTTGTTTTTTTAAAAAACTGATTTCAGAGAGGAAGGGAGAGGGAGAGAGAGAGAAACATCAATGATGAGAGAATCATGGATCAGCTGTCTCCTGCACACCCCCTACTGGCGATTGAGCCTGTAAACCCAGGCATATGTCCTTGACTGGAATCAAACCTGGGACCCTTCAGTCCACAGGCTGATGCTCTATCCACTGAGCCAAACTGGTTTCGGCCAGTTACTGTTTTTATCAATGTTATATCATGTCTTTGTTGTTTTTATATAATGTTTTTAGTTTTATATCATGTCTGTTTTTATATCATATTTTTTATTAATCAATTTATATATTGTCATATACATTTTACTGATATTCTTTCATCTCTGACACTTCTATTATAGAGAAAGGGTGAATAGTGATATTAAAATATTTCTTCTAATTAATTTCCTTTCAATGTGCATGAATCCGTGCACTAGGCCTCTAGTTTAATTATAAAAGATAAATTCGCCCTGACTGGTTTAGCTCAGTGGATAGAGCGTCAGCCTGCAGACTGAAAGGTCCCAGGGTCGATTCCGGTCAAGGGCATGTACCTGGGTTGCGGGCACATCCCCAGTGGGCTGTGTGCAGGAGGCAGCTGATCGATGTTCCTCTCTCATCGATGTTTCTAACTCTCTATCCCTCTCCCTTCCTCTCTGTAAAAATCAATAAAATATATTAAAAAAAAAAGATAAATTCAAACCTAAAATGAAATATTATAAAAAATTGAATCTGCTGCCCTTTTGTTATTTCCCTCTGATCCATTGCCTATGCTGCTATCAGGTAGAACATATTTGATGAATCAGTGGTTATAAGTGTTCATACTGAAATTAAAGCAGAGAAATTAATTTACTCGGTCCTATCTGAATGAGGAAGAAGGGTGGGTTGCAATAAAAAAAAAAGTCATGGTGAAGCCATCAGCTCAGGACTTTGGTGTTATGATGGTGGATTAAATTTTGTCTTCCAGCTTTACAGAAAAGACCATACCTAATGTCATCATATCACATCGCTACAAAGCACAAGATACTCCAGCTCGGAAGACATTTGAGCAGGCTTTGACCGGGGCATTCATGTCTGCAGTCATTAAAGATCTTCGGCCCAGCGCCCTGCCCTTTGTAGCCAGCCTGATCCGCCACTACACAATGGTGGCAGTTGCCCAGCAGTGTGGTGAGTGGGGCCAAGGACCGGTTATTTGACTTCAAAAACTTGGTCAGGACATGGTAGTCTTTCAGAGAAGCTGAGGTTGGCTGATTGATTTTTGGCCTTTGTTTTCTAATTTTCCACTTGAAAAAGATCATTGGTATTTCAGCAATGGGTGCTGTATTGTGAAAATTGTTTCCAAGTGTTAGCTATAAAATGCACTCAGTATTTCGGCCCTTTGTGTTTTTATGAAAAAGGGGGCTGAATAGTCTTGGCTGTGTAAACAGAGACAGTTTGCAGTTACACTTATTGCTGACCTTCCTCCATGTGTTTTCCATCGTCACCTCTCTGCTCTTCAGCCAGCTCCTCGAAGGCTCCCTTGCAGTGCTCATCTCTGCTCCTGGGATGCTCACCCATCTCTTCTCTCTGCCTGGAATAGCTACTTGCTTCTGCTGCAGGGGTTCTCAGGCTCTGGGTGTGAAGGACAGAGTTTGTCTTCTTGGCTTTATTTTTAAGCCACTACAGACTGGTGGTTTGGTAGAACACAGTAGGACTGTCAGGGCTGCCCAGTGCTATGTAAGTTTCTGCACACTTACTCCCAACTTGGGTAACTACTCCCAGACTAGTGCTGGCCAGTGGACGCCCTTGAGGAGCACTGCACTCGGGCATGTCCTCAGAGCCCTCACCCTGGAGAACGACGATGGGCTTTCTTGAGGCTGTAGAACATGTGGGACTTTCCCCTCATAACTCTTGGCCTGGACAGTTGGTACTGTACAATTTAGCACTTAGATTATTTCTCAGTGTTTCTTCTGTGTTAACGTTAACTTTCCAGCAGACCTGTAAGTTTTTTGATAATTCTCAACTTGTGGGTCCTAGGCACCTGTGAGGCATTAATAGTTGCTGGCAGGTTGTTCTTTGTGTGTATGTTGGGTGTCATACTTGGGTGCTGTTGCTTTTTTTTGTGTGTGTGAATTGTTACTTTTGATTGTTATATGCATGTCAGGAATGTACAGAGGGTAACCCATAGTTATTGGCATGCTCTGCCCTTTGGCCTGTTGAATGACTTTTTAAAAAGAAGGGACCTGATTGTGGTTCTCTCTCTCTTTTTTCCTTTTTTTTTAAAGTTGGCCATGAGAATATTTTAGGAGAAATAAACTATTTTTTAAAATATATTTTTATTGCTTTCAGAGAGGAAAGGAGAGGCAAAGAGAGAGATAGAAAAATCAATAATGAGAGAATCGTTGATCAGCTTCCTCCTGCACACCCCTACTGGGGATTGAGCCTGCAACCCAGGCATGTGCCCTTGACTGGAATTGAACCCGGGACCCTTCAGTCCACAGGCCAACATTCTATCCACTGAGCCAAACCAGCAAGTGGTTCTTATTTCAAATTAATACATTTTTGACTTATGATTGAGGAAATCTGAAAGTAATACAATGTTTAATAAAAAACATTCAGAAAAATTACCTTAGTGTAAATCAGACTCCTTAGTTTAAAAATATTGAGTTTAATAGAAGTTGGTCTAAAGTATTAAGTTCCTAACCTCAAAGAAAAGAAAATGAGGTACTTTTGCAGTTTGAGGGGCAAGAATGTTGGTATGCGGATACTCTTCTCTCTCATGCACCCTGTGCTCTCCTCCAGGTCCTTTCTTGCTGCCTTGCTACCAGGTGGGCAGCCAGCCCAGCACAGCCATGTTTCACAGTGAAGAAAACGGGTCGAAAGGAATGGATCCATTGGTTCTCATTGATGCCATAGCTATATGTATGGCATATGAAGAAAAGGAACTTTGCAAGATTGGAGAGGTGGCTCTTGCTGTGATATTTGATGTTGCAAGTATCATCCTGGGCTCAAAGGAGAGGGTAAGGCTGGATCTCCTGTTTGTGGGGTTTGTACCTGAGGGTGTCATTCTAGAAACTCGTAGTTTAAGAATTGCGGTAACACATTAAGGTTTGTGTTTGTTTTTCTCTCCAGGCATGCCAGCTGCCTCTGTTTTCTTACATTGTGGAGCGCTTGTGTGCGTGTTGTTATGAGCAGGCCTGGTATGCAAAGTTGGGGGGTGTGGTGTCCATTAAGTTTCTCATGGAGCGGCTGCCGCTCACCTGGGTTCTGCAGAACCAGCAGACATTCCTCAAAGCGCTTCTCTTTGTCATGATGGACTTAACTGGAGAGGTAGGTGATGGTGGCTCCAAACCTATAACCAGGCTGTCTCAAGAAGCTGATTTGCTGGAGAATAGCAAGAGTCAGTTCTGCAAATTTGCTCTCCTAGAAGCTTAGGTTTTATATCAACACCTTCAATAAAATGACAGATGAGAACCCCTCTAGGTTTTCTCTGGTTATCAGATATCTATCTGTTTTCATAAGGAGCAGTCAGAAACCAGAGAACTTACCACAGAACATCTGTGACCTGTGAAGGAAGCACCACTCCTCAGTCTTGTCTTGGGGCTCAGTAGTGCACATGGTCCAGCATTTCCACAGACGCTGCATTCTTTATGAACGTATATGCAGGCAGAATATCTGGGCATCGCTAGCTTATCTGTTTGGTAAATACAAAGATCCTGTCTACACCACGTTTTCCTTTCTGAGTGACTCAGGAATTACCTATAAGTACCTAATGGAAGTTATGAAATAGTCTTATTAAAGTAGTTGGCACGAGGGGCGTGACCTCCCCCTTAGAGACAGTTTTTATGGCAGGCAGGTTGCGCAGGAGACATGGGTGTCCTGGGCAGCGTTGTTCCCTTTTTGATCGAAGGAGTCCTTGGCCTGCAGGTTTCCAATGGGGCCGTTGCCATGGCCAAAACCACGCTGGAGCAGCTTCTGATGAGGTGTGCGACACCTTTAAAAGAGGAGGAGAGAGTGGAAGAGATTGTGGCAGCTCAGGAAAAGTCTTTTCACCACGTGACACACGACTTGGTTCGAGAAGTCACCTCTCCAAATTCCACTGTGAGGAAACAGGCTATGCATTCACTGCAAGTTTTGGCCCAGGTCACTGGAAAAAGTGTGACAGTGATAATGGAACCCCATAAAGAGGTGAGATTTCTGTCACCAGAGCAAGGGTAACATGATCAAAACTTTTGAGACTTTTTTCTCCCTTTAAATCTGAGAGAGGATACATAATTTATAATTTTGTGTCCACTTTACAGAATACTATTACATATGCTGTTTTTAACCTCAGATATGTAAAAATCAATGTGCTTATATTAATGGTTCTATTGGTAATGGCCAGTGTCAAGAGGATAGAAGGTTGGTTTCCTGGATCAGTATAGCACAATCTGGTAGTTTTGTGTTTTTAAAAAAATATATATTTTATTGATTTTTTACAGAGAGAAAGGGAGAGGGATAGAGAGTTAGAAACATTGATGAGAGAGAAACATCGATCAGCTGCTTCCTGCACACTCCCTACTGGGGATGTGCCCACAACCAAGATACATGCCCTTGACCGGAATCGAAACTGGGACCCCAGCAGGCTGACGCTCTCCACTGAGCCAAACTGATCAGGGCTGTGTTTGTTTGTTTGTTTGTTTTAAGAGAGGTTACTCTGAAGCCTTAGGAATGAAGTATATCAGACACCCATGGCCCAGTTTTAGCACATGAAGCATCTCTCTGTCACTTAATTAAAAGGCATCTGTAATAACCTTTAATCTCTTATGATTTTCAAATTGGTAATTGCTTTAGAATATTGTGATGAGAGCCTTTTTGAGGGGCATGTGTTTAGTTGTAGTTCCTCCTTACCTGTCCCAGGTCCTCCAGGATATGGTCCCACCTAAGAAGCATTTGCTCAGACACCAGCCTGCCAATGCACAGATCGGCCTGATGGAGGGGAACACGTTCTGTACCACATTGCAGCCCAGGCTCTTCACAATGGATCTTAACGTGGTGGAGCATAAGGTGTTCTACACAGAGGTAGGGGGGGTGGTGGTACGCGTGGTGTGGATGGTGATGACGTGTGTCTGGTAAACTGTCTTTGTGCATGAAGACTGGTTAGGCAGCACTCAGAGAAGGCCTGGGAGGTGACCACAGGGAACCAGCAATAGCCTGGCACAGCACTCGGCACACCTATGTTACATCTGGGATTGGGGAGAAGGTGGGCATAGTGATTGCAGATGTTCAACAAAAGGTGGGTGTTTCCTGAGTCCTTTGAATTCTCTTAGCCCTCTACCAAGGAAACTTGCTCTTCAGGGCTTTCAAGTTGTAATCTAGAGCTAAGACTGTACCATCTACTTTAGTCACTGTCCCATCTGCTGGTGCTCAGAATAAGACGGCACAAGCAAGTGCCAGCTTACTGAGTTTATTAGACACTTAACCGTTTGACTGCTAAGGAGCGCTATCGTGCTCTTCTTATTTAAAACAAATTTATGTAAACAATTGGTATTTTTTAATTTTTGTTGTTGCAGAGCAATACAAGTGAGTTTATTGTATAAAAAGTGTTTTACATTTTTCCCATACACGCGCAATTAGTGCCGCAGTTTTGGCATATGTCTGAAAAAAAACGTTAGCAGCCAAACGGTTAAACGTGCCAGGCACTGTTGAGACCTTACTTCACATGAATGCCCTCTGTAGCTCTGACCTCCTGAAGATACAGAAACTGAGCATGAGCATTTGGTATACACCTAAGGTCATAGCAGAGAAGCTGCAGATCATAGGTGGGGACCATGACTGTTACTTTGGAGCCTTGTCCTGCTGGGTTCTCGTGCTGCTTAGTGGACTTGACTTGCCCCTCGATTCAAGATAATGGGCAGAGGCAGATGACATCTTACAAGTGTTTGCTACTGTAAACTTCCCAATTTACAGTGTGTATACAGTAATAAACAGAAATTAATCTTTAGATACAGTCAGATTAAAAGCATTAATTCTTTTAAAAATATATTTTATTGATTTTTTACAGAGGAAGGGAGAGGGATAGAGAGTTAGAAACATCGATGAGAGAGAAACATCGATCAGCTGCCTCCTGCACATTCCCCCGCTCTATCCACTGAGCCAAACTGGTTAGGGCTAATTCTTTTTTTTTAATGCTTATCTCTGAGGATATTTTTTTCCATTTACTTATAGTGAAAGTAGGAGAGAGAGAAAGAGAAACATGGATGTGAGAGAAACACATGGATTGGTTGCCTCCCACACCTGACCGGGGACGGGGATGAACCTGCAACCAAGGTACATGCCCTTGACCTGGAATAAAATTCTTTGGAATTTGAGTTCAGTTTGTCAGTTAATTGTGTTGTGGGTGTGTGGAAGATTGCTGTGCTCTTTTATTTGTAAGGTTATTATGTCATTACAGTAAGAGCAGGCTAAATTACATTGCTTTATCTTTTGCAGCTTTTGAATTTGTGTGAGGCTGAAGATTCAGCTTTAACAAAGCTGCCCTGTTACAAAAGTCTTCCATCACTCGTGCCTTTGAGAATTGCAGCACTAAGTAAGTTCATAGAAATCTGAAACAAGTTACTGGGGATAAAAGTGAAAGGGGACAGTGGCCTTTTATGTTGTTTAATTTTTTTTTTTTTTTGGCTTCTTGTGTTGTTTCTAAGGTGGGATCAAAAACTATGTGTGTATTTATCAAACTAGATAATGAGATGTCTGGATTATATAGATTGTTAGGATTTAAATAATTTCTTATTCTATAGTAAATTCTATTTAATAAACTATAGTTCTATAGTAAATTTTATTTAATAAACTATATGAACCTAATATTCTGGTTTAACAGAGTTGTCATACCATTCATATATTACCATTTTCATCCAACAGAGTATTTAGTAAGATATACAACATTCTTTATAGACTTTGTAATGATTCAGAAGCATCTGAGAATCCTGCTGGCTCTAGATTTTCCTGAATTTTAGCTATCAGTGTTTAGTACAGGAATTGTGTTAAGTTTAAAAAAATATACTAGGTCAGTACTCACCCTTGTGCTTAGAAACAGTCATTTCCTCCCCTTTTTGGTAATACCCAATACAGGTTTTTAAGTTGACTTTGTCTCTTGATCTATTGATATTTATACCCTTAATAAATTTATACCCTAATCCTTGAATTAGCGGTAGAGAAGCTGAGAAACAGAGAATATAATATCCAAGCTTGAGGATGGGGCTGGGTGGGGTGCTTAAGACAAAGTAAGCCAGAGTGAGGGAGGTGCAGAGCAGGGATGTTTGCCAGCTTCTCACTTTTTCTGAGTTGGGATTTTTTATTTGGGGTGCCCTTAGACATTCCTGTTGGCAACATGGTCCTCTTGCTAGGATGTTCTCTCTTTTTGTTGTTGGTAAGCCTCAGCTGAGGATATTTTTTCTGTTGGTTTTTAGAGAGTGTGGAAGGGAGGGAGGGAGGGACATCAATGTGAGAGACATATCTGTTAGCTGCCTTCCCGACTGGGGCTGGGGATTGAACCTGCAACCCAGGTACTTGCCCTTGACCTGGAATCAAGCACACATGCCCCAACCAGGGTGGGAACGAACCGGCAACCCAGGTATGTGCCCTTGACCAGGAATTGAACCTGTGACCCTTTGATGCACTGGCCCGATGCTCTTCCATTGAGACACACCAGCCAAGGCTAGGCTGTTCTCTCCTAATGAGCATACGATTGAGGTGTGTCTCCTTTCCTCAGAATATTTGTATTTTCAAAGTCTCTCAAGTTGGGAGGAGGCTGCCTGATTAGATATGAATAGTGGAGCGAAGCCTGGCTGTGTGTGTGTCTATTCTTTTCATCAAGGCCATGCCCTCTTCATGAATTCAGCAAGCATCTGACCACAGGTCAGCCATGCTCACCCTCTGTGAAGATGTCGTGGGGGCAGCAGTGTCATTGGGGACCTTCTTTCTTCCCTCTTCTGCCCTCTCCCTCCTATCTGGACAATGTAAAATCTGTCATGGCCCCTCTGGCTGTTGATGTCACCCTTAGATAATGCCAGTAGAGGATCATGTGGTCTTTCTGTCTTTCTCAAGGTCAGATACTAGGAAAGAGGGTTAGTGACACATAATTTTTGTGGGTAAGAGCCTTTATTTATTTATTTTTAAAGATGTACCCTTTTATTTTTATTGATTTCAGAGAGGAAGGTAGAGGGAGAGAGACAGAAACATCAATGATGAGAGAGAATCATTGGCTGCCTCCTGTATGCCCCCTACTGGGAATCGAGCCCATGACCCAGGTACATGCATTTGACTGGAATTGAACCCAGGGCCTTTTGGTCTGAGGGCCAATGCTCTTGTCTACTAAGCCAAACTGGCCAGGGCTGGTAAGAGCCTTTAGATAAGCAATATGTTCATGTATTTTCAGGTTAATAATGAGATTATATTACTTTTTCTCCCTAAAGATGCACTTGCTGCCTGCAATTACCTTCCTCAGTCCAGAGAGAAGATCATTGCTGCACTCTTCAAAGCACTTAATTCCACAAATAGTGAGCTCCAGGAGGCTGGAGAAGCCTGCATGCGAAAGGTGAGGGGTGTGTATGTGTGTGTGTGTGTGTGTGTGTGAATTCGGTTTAGGAGTTCTGTTTACCTTGTCTGTGTGCCTGGAAATCTGCACGTTAATAGCCACTGGATTGTAATAATGTCTCTACTGGTTCCATAGTCATACCAAACCTTTAAAAATATTATACAGCAATGACTAGTCAATAGATATGTTTAATGTTTCATTTTTTCAAGGAACACAGAAACTTGCTGGTAGAGTTGCACATAAGTTCTATTCTATTCTAAAGTATAGTCTGTTATCTGTTTTCATTTGTAACCTTTCTTTTAAAATAGTTTTTAGAAGGTGCTACCATAGAAGTAGATCAAATCCACACACATATGCGACCTTTGTTGATGATGCTGGGGGATTATCGAAGTTTGACGCTGAATGTTGTGAATCGTCTGACTTCGGTTACCAGGCTCTTCCCAAACTCCTTCAATGATAAATTCTGTGATCAGATGATGGTAAGCTAAATGCATGTAAATATATTCTATAATAAACCTGAAAATTGGAATTATTTTTTTAAGTAAGTAATATATTTACATGGTTTAAAATTCAAAGGGTATGGAAGGGTATGCTGTGAAAGTATCCCTCCTCTCCTCCAACTCTCCACCCGCTTCCCAGTGTTAACAGTGTCCTTCTGGAGGCTTTTACATTTGTAATAGGATATGTGTATATTCTTTTGTTTCCCACAAAAGGAAGGATAATATAATCACAGTTCTTACTTTTCCTATCTACTACCCCACCATTTCATCAGAACATAAAGTTCTTCTTCATTCTGTTTTGTGATGACAATAATCCTTATGTGGCCATGCCCTCGTTTATGTAACCAGGCCCCCACTGATGACCTTCTAGATTAGAGGTGGGGAACCTTTTTTCTACCAGGAGCCATTTGGATATTTATAGCATCATTCGTGGGCCACACAGAATTATGAGCTTAACAATTAACCTGCTGTATTTGATCAAACATTTAATTAATTCCCCCCTAATGCCTTGCTGGGGCCAGACCAAATGATTTCACAGGCCTTATAGGGCCCATGGTATGGCCTGAGGGCCGGATGTTCCCCACACCTGATCTAGATTATTCCCAGTCTTTTGATTTACAGACGATGATACAGTGGAAAACTTGAAAGAACTTTAGAAATCCTTTGGGTTTTTAGAATTATCAAGGAAATAATGATGCAAATAAAATCTGTTTGGCAGTGTTTAAATTTGAAGTGTAAGCAGGTGAAGGAGATTCAGCTATTAATTTTCTTAGTATTTGATTTTGTTTCTGGTAAATAGACACTTATAAATACTGCAAATGTACATGTATTTTTCATAAATAGCCTTTGGCCATATAGATATTTAAGATACTAGAGGTGGGTTTTTTAAAAATTCGGTTTTGTTTGATATACCTTTCCCTCAGATGTAAACAGGAGTGAGCAGATAGTTAGATTTAGATATAGATATAGTGCGTTACAGAGTATAGATATATGTGTATATGAAAACCACACAACTTTTTACCTCACGTAGTAGCTTCTTTATAGACACCTAAAAAATGAACAGTGACCCAAACACCTAATTGGGAATTGATAATAATATTGTGATTGGCCCTAGAAACTGTGATGCCATAATGGAAGAGTGTGAATGGGAAGCAATATTATGTGGAAGTGAATTTTCCAAATTGGAAGAACCCTTCTGTTTAAGATTCCAAATATATGTAATGCACATACATACCTACCAGTTTATACTCATACATTCACAAGTGTGGTTAAATTAAGTGATATTAATCACTTCCTAGTCAGAGCACAAATATACATGTTATCTTATAGACTGTTACAACTATTGGTGCTTTCATATATGAGATTTGTGCATATCTTTTCTATGTCCTAATGTTTTTATATTTGCCTCCTTTTTTACTGTTTGTCTCTTCCAACTCTGTCAGCTGTCATTTGTTGCAGTCTTTGCTGCCTGCCTGAAGCAACTTGATTGTTTTTTGCATTTTTACCCCTAATCTAACCCTTCAGATTTGCTGTTAGCTGGGAATTCCTTCAGTGATTTGTTATCTGATATTTAAAACAGTGTGAAGAGACTGCCTCCCAGTCTGTGGTTTCTGACTAAGTTCAGGAATCTTTTCCAATAAAACAAAGTTACGTAGGTTTGGGGGATTTTTTCCTTTCTCTGGCAATATAGACATTTTCTGAGTGGTTAAAAATCCTCTAAAAGCAGAGAAAGTTGATGTACTTGGATAAAGAATGATTGAAGTTACTGTCTGTTCAGCCATTTCCATCTGGCACCACCTCGCCCGAGACCATCCGGGGAGTGTGTGGGTGGTGCTTGTGTTTGTGGCTTGGGTCTTCCCATCGTGTCCCAGGTCCACCGGGCTGTGCCAGGTGTGGTGGTCAAGGACACGTTTGCCCTTCTTACTCATGTCCTTCAGAACTGTGCCCAGACTCGGAGCCTTTGTTTTCCCTCATGATTAGCTTTTGAGGTTAACAGCGTAAGACTTCAGTGTAAGAGATAAGACACCTTACTTTGTAGAGGGGCATTCGTGGGAACAACCCGGAAATTTTCCTTTCTTAAAATTTGAACTGCTTGAGATTTGGTCTTGAAGTCTCTAATGTGGTTAGTTATTTTGGGTACTTCCTTATTTAACTAGACATGGATTTTATATACCATTAGCATTCATTTCTTTCCTTTGGGTAATCCAAAAACAGAATGACGTAGCTGGTCACTTATTGCACTTTTAATTTTGTCACTTTCATGTCTTTGGTATAAATAGTTATTCTAATAGTGTAGGTTTTATGAAAATATATTCTGGTGACTTACTTCAAGGAATTTTATTGGTAAAATATTGTTAGCTTAGTATACTTAGTTTCTTAAAGAAATGTGTTGTTTTAGGGGTTCTCAACATATGATTCTTAGAACATTGGCCCTGCAATTTGTAGGGGAAAAAACCTCCATTGGTTAAGTTTGGGAAACAACTTCCTGTACTCTCCTCTTAAAGTTTACATTAAAGGCTCATGGAAAAGTGTTTATTTATTTACTAGAGGCCCAGTGCACAATATTTGTGCATTGGGGGGTGGGGGTGGGTGGGAGTTGTCCCTCAGCCCGGCCTGTGCCCTCTTGCAGTCTGGGACCCCTCGGGGAATGTCCCCCTGCTGGCAGTCAGACATCCCTCTTGCAGTCCGGGCTCTCGCAGTCCGGGACCCCTCACTCCTTACCGCTATAGCCGCTGCGCTCGCCAGTCGTGAGCCTGGGCTTCTGGCTGAGTGGTGCTCCCCTTGTGGGAGTGCACTGATTTCCAGGGGGCAGCCCCTGCATTGAGCATCTGCCCCCTGGTGGTCAATGCGCATCATAGGGACCGGTCATTCTTCCATTTGGTCGATTTACATATTAAGGTTTTATTATATAGGATTCATTGATTTCAGAGAGGAAGGGAGAGAGAGAAATATCAATGATGAGAGAGAATCATTAATTGGCTGCCTCCTGGATGTCCTCTATTGAGGATCAAGCCCAAATCTGTCCATGTGCCCTTGACCGGAATTGAACCTGGGAGCAGGCCAATGCTCTATCCACTGAGCCAAATCAGGGCAGAAAAGTGTTTAGATGCATTTAAATCATCTGCCCCCAAGCCTATTTTACCATGAAGTTCTTTTTAAGCAACTTGTTAATTTCCTGTGGGACATCAGTGTTTTGAAGAACATGTTTGGTCAGTGTCGGATAATGAAGATACATCTCGTATTTGGGTGTTCTTGTGGTTTTAGCTGTGGGCTCTAAGTGCTTGTCTGCCAGGTTTTGCTGTGGTAGGACCCTGATTGCCACATGCTCAAGTCAGGTCACAGTTGCTTTGGGCTCAGGGACTCTCTCCTCTTGCTCTGCACAGAATCTGCACAGCGCAACTGCCATCATTCTGCACCGAAGGGAATTGCTACCTGTCAGCACTAATTTGCATAGCCTCTAACCCAATGGGGTCCCACTCATTCTCTCCAGTCCTTCTGCTTGGGCCCCTTTTGCCCCCCTGTCCTCCCACAGCAGCCGCCTTTCTGTTTCTGGCTCCAGGGCCTTTGTCCCTCCCTCTCTCTGCCTGGAGCGCTCTTCCTTGTGCTTCTGGCACATGTGCCTCAGTAGGGACCTGACCATAGCTTTCACATATCTTACCATCTTCGTTCCACACACCACGCTCCTGGGTGCTGTACTGTTTTTCCTACTGCAACCCAAACTCCATGAGGACAGGCGATGTCTGCATGTTCACTTCTCTTCCCCGTGCCTTGCACTGTGCTGGGTGCATGGCAGCACTCCGTGAACAGCTGTGACGCAAAGTACCAGGGTCATAATAAAAAAAATATTGGAATGGCAGGTTTCAGGGTGTTTCTCTGTAGCAGGGTGGTTTCAGCCTTTCTTTATAGAACGTAAACAAATGCCAGCTATTCCCATCACTAGTTGAATGGTTGGGCTATTTCAGTAACAGAAACACTGCCGTTCTCACATTAAATATGATGGAAATGAATGATTATTTATGTGTTCTCACTAAAAGCAGCATTTTGGAATTGAAATGCTCCTGTTGTGAGGAAGAAATGCCTAAGGTTGTGTTTTTTTCAACAGCAACATCTGCGAAAGTGGATGGAAGTGGTGGTCCTCACCCACAAAGGGGGCCAGAGGAGCGACGGAAACGTGAGTGACTTGTTTGTTTCTGGAAAGGGCCACCCTGTCGGCCCCTGCCACAGTCATGTTCATGTCGGAGCAGTGCTTTTCATTAAAGTGCCTGTCAGAATCTAGTTTTATGTGATTGTAGTCCATTTAAATTGTTAAACATTTTATTAGCATTACATTTAAAAAATTTCTCTTGATTGCTGAAAACATTCTTTTTTTATGCTTCCTTAAAATCTCCCTTTGTTCACTTTAATATGACGTTTCTGTTGCTGAGAGTTCTCGGAGGCTTGAATGTTAGTATTTGAATTGTACTGTTTTTGCGTTAAAGTGAACTAAGTGTATGTTCTCGACTGTCCTTGGCAGCTGTTGTTTGCATGGTGGTGCCCTCCTCTGCTGTTGTTTTCCATCGCTTTCCATCATCATTGCTTCATAAAACCAAGGAGTGATTTTAGGATTTAAAGCACTAAAGAGATTGTAATAAGACGTTACATAAAAATAAAACAATTTTATGTTTTCTAGGTCTAAATATCCCACCCCAGTTGTTTGGCAAACGTCAAATGGCTAGTACTTCAAAACCCACATTTATGGTTTTGAGGGAAAACCACGTTAGTTAAATCTTTTCGAGCATTCTATATTAGTCATTAAAGATTTTGCCTCTTAAAAATGAATGGTTCTTGTTGTTTTGACTCTAATTTTACTTGTACATGTTACTATTTCTTTAAAATATTTTTTAAGTTGGTGCTTGTCCTGTCAGTGAGGTTGTGTTTGCCAAGTTTCTGTTTTCTGGTGCCATTGTGTCCCGAGGAGGGGACTCTGCAGCTCTGCAGCGGCATCGTTAACGTGGCCTTGTCCTCCTGTGCCTATTTGTCGGATGCTGTGTTTCATCCCAACTTGATATTTTTTTTTTGGCTTTATATGCTTTGTTTTGACCATTCTGTGTCAAGTGTTTTATTTGTGTAAGTCTGATTTGTTTCTTGCTGCTTCTAAAGAGCAAACTAAGCAAAACTAAACCAGGATTTTTAACTTTTTTAGGATTGGTATACCATCCGTGACCTCTTTGAAGGTTTGTTATTTATATAAACAGGAATCCAGTCAGGGAAACTTCGTGGGGGAGAGCAGAGTGTATTTTTAAACCCTAAGCTCTTGGAAGTAGGTGCAAGTGCTTCTGTGCTTTTCCTTCCCATCTTTATCTCTTAGGTATTTTTGCTGTAAATTTTATATTTGTCTTCACAGTAAACTGTTAATTACCTGAAACACACAGCCATTCCAGAATAAACATTAAAAAAACCTCGTGGGTAGATGAATGACTTATGTTAGATCAAAAAGATTCCACAAACTTTTACATCAAGTTGTTTGGAAGGGTTCGGGGTGGGGGCACTGCGTAGGGGACGGAGCGGCGGGTGTCGGGAAGTCCTTGCTCCTGCTCAATGAAACATGTTGGTTGTCGGATGAGTGTATTCCCTGAGCTGCTTGGGAACACCCAGCTGTGTGAGAGAGGCCCCAGGTCTGCGCCCAGGACATGGTGTTTGGGATCCACAGGCAGCATGGCCACGGCCCCATCACCTCAGTCCAGGGCCAAGCCTTGCCTTTCTGCTCTTGAGCCCTGGTTATTTCTTATGCATGCGGCCCAGGATTGGCAGTAGATCTTGGAAAGTAGTTTGTTCCTATTTGGTCAAATCACCAAATAATATTGCCTCACTGTCAAACTATAACTGAGGACATGTTAAATAGTTGACTAAAAATAAAGCTTTGTAATGCTGGGCACCCCAGTGATTAGAGATTTGTACATCATCATGTTTAGGAAGGCTTGCCTGTTTAGCATTGAACTTACAGGGCAGAACTCATGGCATATTATGCCATGTCTCCCCACACACTCATGCATGCATGCACAATACATATACACATACATCCAACATGCACAATACACATACATCTAACATGTATGCATACATGCAATCTTTACTTGACAAGATTGCTCAGGTATCCAGTCGTAGCCTGTGGGTTCTCCTGTGTGTGGGGGTCTCAGACATGCCTACTGACGAGGCTTAAGCCCTCTGGTACTCTTTTAGAAGACTTTAGCTGGGAAAGAGGTTTTTAAAAATTTCTTAGCACTTCACAAAAAAGCTTAAAATATTCCCCCTAAACAAAAGAGTTATTTAAATGTATTTGCACACAGCAAAGTCTTACAATTTCTCCTCTAGACAAGAATTTAAAAATTCTGTATTTTAAAATTTGATGTATGGAAGGAATACACTCTATTCGACACTGTCAGAGGGCTGTGTTTGACATCGGAAGGGTGGAAGGTGTTTTTTGTTTGTTTTTTTTGTTTTGCTGTTGAGCATTTACTAATTATTGTGTGCTTTCTGATAATTGTATCTTTACTGTCTTGTTTACCCCAATAACCCTGTGTATGAGTATATGGGAATTTTTAATGTAAATAACATAAATAGAAAAAAGATGATTTTCCTCCCCATCCTCAGGAAAGCATTTCAGAGTGCGGGAGATGTTCCTTGTCTCCATTCTGTCAGTTTGAGGTGAGAACAACCTATTAAAAGTCAGTTTATGACTTGCAATGTGAAGAACAGTTTATTTATTTTTTTCTTTTCTTTTTACCTTTTTGTTGCATTTTTTCATGCTGTAATTTTTGTTTTGGTTCAGCCTGCCATGGAAGGGGTAGAGGTGAGAATTTCAGTGGAGACGCAGGAGGGGGTCGTGGTCGTATTTGGTTTTGCTGTGACTTGTGGTTCTGTGGTGGACAGAGTGCATTGTGCCTTTGAGTGCAGTGAGCCGTATTGTCTGTCTGTGGCAGAGTTATATTAGTATCATTGCTGTGAACTGTCTGGGTGTCACGCATGTTTTCTTTTAGGATGTTTTAAGCAAGATTCTAAGTTCTTTGGTTTTCTACATGTTAGAATATCAGCATCTCAATATTTAAGATTTTGTTGGATTTTGCTGTCATAGTTCGTTTGAACTCATACATCTAACAACCTCTGGAGAGGAAACTTCACAAAGAATATATAATCCTGCTAGAAATTGGGAGGTGTGATACAGTTACACTGACGGACTGTCTTGAATTTGAGAACCTCCTTGCTCCCCTGCACCCAGTCTCCTGTATCTCTTGTTCACACACACCACACTGATGTTGTGACAACACTGTGACTTTGAATAGACAAACTCTAAGGTTTCCCTCTTCTGTAAAATGGGGATGAATGATAATACGTCATTTCCTATCTTCTGATGGAATGGGAGGACCAAAAAAAGTGATTTTGTAACAGTGCTTTGAAAACAAAAAACTATAATATAAAACCATTACTAGAATGTTATTCTAATTTCAGGATAGAACTTGTTCTGTCCCAAGATTTGAAAAGACTGTAGACAAGAACTCTAGAGATGGTATGGGTATGAGGTGACAGTGAGCCGATTTTTCTCATTTCTTACCCATCTCACTGTTTTGCCTTTTGGTTTAAAGAGGCTTTTGAAAAAATATCTCAAATGCTGTGGGATGTGGTCCCTCCCGACTAGTGTTTATCATCCCCATTTTACTGTGTTTAGAGTAATGGACAACCTATTGCACACCACTCAGGGTCGTGCATCAGGGAGTCTTCCCTTCTGTGCTCATGGGGATTTCCCTAGAATCGCAGACATGAAATTGGGGGAACTGAAAATGAGAAGGGAAAGTTGGATTGGCACTCAGTAATCGGCCACCGAGCTGTTAGCACATTTAAAAATGCAAAATGCTTGGTGTTTCACATTTTTCACTAAGATTCAATAAAAGCAGTTGTCAGCTTTATTTTATGTCTGGTTGACAAATAATTAGTGCCATGGCCAGTTATTTATTTACATTGATATTTGATTTCCAGGGTAAATACTTAAGTATTTTTTGAGGACTTCGTGCTAAGTTTTGAGGGCAAAATAAGTCTTTGCCTTCAGAGCTTAGTACATTGGGAAGACCCCATGATATCACAGCAAACTGAGGGAATCCTTCCACATACAGCCATAGGCATGGTCACCCCCTCCTCCATGAGGGGCCTAGGCAATCATCAGGCCACTTCCAACACTAGTCAGAGTGTGAGAGACAAACAGCCCAGTCACGCCGGGTGCACAGTCAGCCCCCCAACTCCTCGAGATGAAATATGAAGGCAAAGGGCAGTTAGTTTCTTTAGGCTAGAGCTATACTGTGGGATTGGTAAGTTGTGCTTTTTACATGTTAATTCTTTGCTTCTGGTGGCTAGCCTTGCAGATGCAATTAGACCATAGTATGGTCTGTAGTAATTTTGATATTTCTAGCTAGTGAAATTAATTGGCCTATTTTGTAATTTCTGATTTTCTTCATTAGGAAATGAAAATTTGTTCAGCAATTATAAACCTTTTTCATCTGATCCCAGCTGCACCTCAAACTCTGGTCAAGCCTTTGTTAGAGGTTGTGATGAAAACAGAACGGGCTATGTTGATTGAGGTAATGGTCAAATATAGGATTAATTCTGTTCTTCCTCCATCTGTTGCTTATAATATTTTCACTTTGTTATATTTTAGATAGACTAATCTTAAAAATATAAAGATGTTAAATATTACTATTTGCTATGGTTGTTAGTATATAAACAGTTACAAGGGGGAGAAATGTATACTTCTAGCCCTGGCTGCTAGCTTAGTTGGTTAGAGTGTCATCCCAATACACCAGGGTTGCGGGTTCAGTCCCCCACCAGGGCACATAAAAGAATCAACCAATGAGTGCATGTATGAGTGGGACAGCAAGTCCATGGTTCTACCTCTCTCCCCCGGCCTCCCAAAAAAAGGAAAAGAAATGTATAATCATATATTTTCTAGGCTGGCAGTCCCTTCAGAGAGCCTCTGATCAAGTTCCTGACTCGGCACCCTTCGCAGACAGTGGAGCTGTTCATGATGGAGGCAACATTGAATGATCCTCAGTGGAGCAGAATGTTTATGGTAGGAATGCGAGGAGCTGGAGTTGGATGTCCCTGCAAATTTTTGTCAGCCAGTGTACCCTCTGAATCTGAAATTCATATCTCACTGTTCAGTGTCAGGCTTTCATTTCCTCTAGTATATTTGAATATTAGAAACATCACTGTTGTGTATATAAAGAGCTCAAGTCCAGGAATCCCTCTCTGTAGATTTTGGTGGTGGTAACAAATGAATGAGCTGCTAGGATTATCAGAATCATAATCATAAAGTGTAATTACTGGTAAAAAAGCATTTAAAAAATTTTAGAGTACATTTATTAAAAGCTGGGGACAGTGAAACAAGGAAGGGCCTAGGATGGAAGAAGCAGCAGGAGAGGGACTAGGTGGGGAAATGAGCCTAGGCTGGGCTGCTTTGGCTCACTAAGAAGTTTGCCTGGGATGAACTGCTGCGGCCTATTCCTCCCTTGGATGCAAGTTTAGGAAATGCATGCCTGTGGGAGGGGAAAGGTGCACAGTGTGCTGGGAGGGAGAGCTCGCACCAAAAAGTATTTTTGTTTTTGAAAAAGGGTATTTACAGTGTTGTTTTTTTAGCCTGCTTAGAAAGATTTAGAAAGAACCTTAGAGTTAATACCTAAATCTTTGTGATTTTTTTTTATTAGCTTAGAACAGCTTGTTTTATTTTGTTTTTAGAGTTTTTTAAAACACAAAGATGCCAGACCTCTGCGAGATGTGCTGGCTGCTAACCCCAACAGGTTCATCACCCTGCTGCTGCCCGGCGGCGCTCAGACTGCCATGCGCCCTGGCTCGCCCAGCACCAGCACAATGCGCCTGGATCTTCAGTTTCAGGCCATCAAGGTAGTCCCTCTTCATTAGACACCTGAAATCTTAAAAATTGAAACACAGAGGACCCTGCCAGTTCCCTAATCGTCTCTTCTTTGACAGATCATAAGTATTATAGTTAAAAACAATGACTCCTGGCTGGCCAATCAGCATTCTCTGGTGAGCCAGCTGAGACGCGTGTGGATCAGTGAAACCTTTCAAGAAAGACACCGGAAGGAGAACATGGCTGCCACAAACTGGAAGGAGCCCAAGCTGCTGGCCTATTGTCTGCTGAATTATTGCAAGTGGGTACACATGTTGTGCTTTATATCAAGTGACTTAATTTACCCAATAAGCAGTGTTTACTCATTTGCGTACAGTGTGGTTCATTGATAAGAGAATAGCTCTGACTTAGCTGTTTAAAACAAGTCGGGGTTTCCACAGTTTGACCATATTCTTACTCGCCCCTTCAGGAGGAATTATGGAGACATAGAACTGCTGTTCCAGCTGCTCCGCGCCTTCACTGGCCGTTTCCTCTGCAACATGACATTCTTAAAGGAGTATATGGAGGAAGAGATTCCCAGAAACTATAGCATTGCTCAAAAACGTGCCCTGTTTTTTCACTTTGTGGATTTCAGTGACCCCAGCTTTGGAGATGAACTGAAAGCCAAGGTGAGTCCCGCTATTGCACAGCAGGAGCCATGGGTTTTGAGCTGATATTCTAGGGAACCAAGGACCCTGTTTATGTTCTGTTGTGTCTCTGTTGACACTTAAATAGTAATCTGGACTATTTATGAGGAAAATGCCATTGTTGAGAAACATAAGAGAGATTCAACAGTGAACCGGTGTTGGAAAGAAGTTTGTTGGTTACATAGCTTTTACTTTTTAAAATTGAATTTATTGGGGTGATATCTATAATAATAAAAGGGTAATATGCTAATGAGACTGAACATCTTCCGGACATCATTCCAGACATCCTTCCTGACGAAGCTGGGTCTGGGGAAGCTAGCTTGGGTCCAGGGTGCCTGCTGGTGGCCAGAGGAGGGAAGCCTGGGTCACGGGTGGGGGAGGAAAGCTGGTGCTAGCAGCTGGGGGAAGGAAGGCCTATTCATGGATGAATATTTGTGCATGGGCCTCTAGTCCTATAATAAAAGCCTAATAAGCTAAGTGTCTGGTCTACTGGTCAGCTGTTCAACCAATCAAAGCATAATATGCTAATGATATGCTAAGGCCGCTCAACCGCTCACTATGATGTGCACTGACCACCAGGGGGCAGTCGACCAGTTGCTATGATGTGCACTGACCATCAGGGGGCAGATGCTCTGACAAGTAGGTTAGCTTGCTGCTTGAGTCTGGCTGATTGGGACTGAGTGACACGGGCTGGACATGCCCTCCCGTGGTCCATCCCCGGCTGGCCAACCTCCCGCATCTCTCTCCGTCCCCAATTGTGCACTAGGCCTCTAGTTAGTTAATAAAATAATACAGGGTTTAGGTGTGGTTACTTTGGTTTTAGAAAATGACTTGTTGGAAGTGAGAATAGTAAAACAAACTGACGTCTCTTTTCCTCAAGTTTTCAACCTACCTTTCCAATTGACCATTTGAATAAAAGTCAAGATTATCAGTTGTAACCTTGATTGAGTTCTAACTTTATGGGTTACAATATGACCAAACTGGTGGGCCTGCCCACCTTATTAAAGAAACAAAAGAACATGGCTTTGCTTTCCTTTTCCATTATTTTAAATTATTATTATTTTTTTTTGTAGGTTCTGCAGCATATCTTGAATCCTGCTTTCTTATACAGCTTTGAGAAGGGGGAAGGAGAGCAACTCTTAGGACCTCCCAATCCGGAAGGCGATAACCCAGAAAGCATCACCAGTGTGTTTATAACCAAGGTGACTGACTAGCAATATATTGGCTTGAAAAGCAACTTGGCAGATGAGAGAGAGAGAGAGTGTGTGTGTGCGTACACATACACGTGTGCAATGGGTTCATTGAAATAAGCTTATTTTCCTAAGGCTTTTATTTTTCCTGATTCCATTAGCTTATAGCAGAGCATTATTTATTCATGGAGGGATAGGTTCTAAGCCCCCAGCATCTGATGCCTGAAACCGCAGATAGTACTGAACCATATATATATATATACTTTATCACAGGTATGTATAGGAAAAATATATAATATATATATAAAAACTATATGTATATATAGTTTTTCCTATACATACCTGTGATAAAGTTTAATTTATAAATTAGGCATAGTAAGAGATTAACAACAATAACAATATAATAATTATAACAATATGCTGTAATAAAATTATGTGAATCCGGTCTCTCTCTCAAAATATCTTATTGTACTGCACACTCTTCTTCTCATGATGATGTGAGACCTAAGCCTGATCTGTGTAATCATCATCTTTAATTGCAGTATATGGCTTGGCGTCATTTCAGGGGCTTCCATGCTGAAGTCTTCGTATAGGCTCAGTGCTTTCTGGAACAACACATTTTCTGTTCATTTCTTCCATCCACAAATTTAATGCCTTTTCCATCTAAATAAGTACTTACCACACTCTGTGGCTAAAACTTTTGCATGATGTGCAACAGCAAAACTAGCATGAATTTCTTTTTACTTCTTTACAGTTTCACAGAAGACTCCTTCTTTCTGAAGATCTTAGCAACCTCAGCATATGATTTCTTTTTTCTTTCCTTACTAAGTTGGGAGTTTTTACTTTTTCACCTAAAGGAAGTACTTTACTGCTTCTCTTTGGCATATCCAGGTTGCCGGCATCACTGCTCTTATACCTTGAGACCATTATTAAGTAAATAAGAGTATTTTAACACAGGACTGGGATACTCTGACAGCTGATCTGATAACCGGATGGCTACTAAGTGAAATGGGCAGGCAGTGTATATAGTGTGGACAAAAGGATGATTTATGTCCTGGGTGGGATGGAACAGGCTGGCAAGAGATTTTTGTCATGCTACTCAAAAGGGCACACAGTTTAAATTTATGAATTATTTCTGGAATTTTCCATTTAATATTTTCAAACCACAGTAGACTGTGGGTAACTGATATTGGGAAAAGTGAAACCATGGGGGAGAGGGTGGACCTACTGTATTATAATTTTTTTTTAAATTCTTTATTGTTGAAAGCATTACATATGTCCCTCTTTCCCCCATTGTCCTCTCCCAGCCTGACCCATCCCCCCAACCCCAGCCTTCATGTATTATAATTCTTATTAGTGAATTTTTTAAGGCAGCTTCATTTGGAATAAATTAACTTTTTTTCACTACATTAATAGATTCCAGTGAGAAACATTGTATCTCAATGAAAAATCAGATCTCAAAGTAATTTTATAAAAACCCCTATTGCTGGTTCATAGAGTTTTGATATTTTAAAAAAATATATTCTTATTTATTTCAGAAAGGAAGGGAGCGGGAGAGATAGACACATTAATGGTGAGAGAGAATCATCGATAGGCTGCCTCCTGCACAAGCCTGTGCGACCTGGGCATGTGCCCTGCCCGGGAATCAAACCCTGATCTCCTGGCTCATAGATTGACGCTCAGCCTCTGAGCTATGCTGGTCCAGCAAGTTTTAATGTTGTTGTTTTTTTCATCCTAAGGTCTGCGAAGGTCTCTATAAAAGCCAGGGAGAATAGTAGACTGGGTACAGCTGCTGCTGTGACCTTTTATTGCCAACTTAATGAGTCATCTTTGTGGCAGGATGATGTCTGAACTGAGCTTGGGCTTTCAGGCCTACATTTTTATAAGAGTGTTTATAGTTTGCCCTAAAGAGAATTTTGGGATTTAATATTTCTTTGAGAAATGCCTGCCCTGTTTTTTTCACGAAGCCTGGGCTGTCCTCTGTAGGTTAGGCCTTTGAACTTCATGGGCAGGTGTGTTTGCCGTGAGGGTGTTAGCTTGTGTTCTGTGTGAGGGTTATTTGTTGGCGTGCTGTGCGCGGCAGCCATTCCAGGGCTGCAGCGCACCATATGCACATTGATGATGCTCTTTGGAAGGATGCAGTGTTTTTACTCATTCTGCTGCCTGTTCCGTTCGGGGGTCCAGGTAGAGTGGACTGTTGTTCCTATTGGCAGGTTATTGGTCTGTAGGTAGCATTTGTCTCTTCCTGCAGCTTTGACCCTACTTCTATCCTCCCAAGGTAATTCGTTCGAGCTGAGCCCAAGGAATTATTTTTGGACTCCCTACTGACTTGTCACAAGGAGGAGATTGTGAATGTTGGATGAGGATAAATGGCCTTGGGCAGGCTGGAGCCCTGGGGAGGGGCTGCAGTGAATTCAGGGGAAGGAAGACTTAAGGGGGTATAGGGACCCGAATGAAGGCACAGTTGTGATGGAAAATTTCAGCCTTTTAGATGTGTTTGTAGGCAGAAAGTAGGTAAGGCTATTTAGCTGAATTGGATAGTGCAGTTACAATACTTGATTCAATAGAGACATGCAGAATATTCCTTAAAGAATGTACATTTTTAATCTTATATCCATGAAACACACACAAAAATCTATCTGATACTTGATTACATAGAAAACCATAACAATTTTTAAAAAAATAGAGATTTTTTTCCAGATAATGTTTTTTGATCCTCATACTGAAAAATAAGGGCTGGATAATTAGTAGTTGACCAGAAAAAAATCTCAACTGCTAGAAATAAGAAACTCAGTCCTAACTCACCTTGTATCAAAGAGGAAGTTCTTTCCCACATCAAGCCACTTTGCCCACTGCATTCTGACTGTAAGCCTGCCCCTTTTTTGCAGGTTGAAATAAATTCAGTGAATTTCTAATCCATATGTGTTAAAGGAAACTTGATATGTCATTATTGGGTTCCTCATTGGAAAACTTAATAATAATATACCGTATTTGCCGGCGTATAAGACGACTGGGCGTATAAGACGACCCCCTAACATTTCCACTCAAAATACAGAGTTTGTTATATACTCGCCGTATATGACTACCCCCTCTTCCGCACACCTTCCACACACCAAATAAAAGGTAAAACAATATCAGATTTGATTTTAACATTTTAATTTATATTCAAATGCTTATGACATGCAGGAAAACTGTCACAAGGCTGTATGTAATCAAACATATACATAAAACAGTGCAAGTTTATTACCGGTAAACATACCGGTAATTCACTAAAGAAAACACACTCTATAGACTGGTACCGTAGATGCTTCTCAGGAACACAGGCAAGCAGCCCACAACCTAGAGGGACTGTCAATGATAGAAGTAAGATAACAAATAGAGGGAGAGAGCA